GGGGGGGGGGGGGGGGGGGGGGCAGGGGAGAGATCATTCCAGAAGGTAGGAATTGCAACAGTTGCTGCTTACTCCTGGAGACTTCATGGATGCATCCATTTAGTTTGTCATTGCCTTCTTTTGCGATTGTTCTTTATTTTCCAGTCTTGTCTATGGCCCTAAATTCTAGAGGTTTCCCATCTGAGTATTAGCCAGATCTGATCATGCTTAGTTTCTGTGCTGACATCTGCTAAGTTCTTAGCTATACCAATTACCAATATCAGAGAAAGTGTAAACTGGTAAGGCCGTCATGGGATGTACAGTTGTTCTCAAACCTTTATAGATTTGAAGTTTGACTCACCAGGGAAGACATGTCTTCAGATTTCTTCTGTTCTATGTATTTTTGAAGAATTGATCTTTTCCTAAACTATTAAACTATTTTGTAATTGCCATTATTACTATTATTATTTCTCAATTGCTTGCTTTTGCAAAAAGCTGTTTTCATACAATTTTAATTTACTGAAATTTTAAAGTGCCAAATTTTTGGCTAATTTGATCCTTATTATGTATGTTATAGAGGTGTTACAGGCCTTCATGTGCACCAAGTTTTATGAACAAGCAATAGTTTCATTTTTAAAACCAATAAAATTTTCAGAAAATGAGTGAAAATGCTGTTAAAATCTTAGGTGCACCTCTCAAAATGGTAGTTTATAGGGAACTATCATTGATGTTTACAGATCTCATACACATTTCTTAATGATATTATTATTATTTTTCTTTCACTACAGGGCTTTGTAATATTACTCTTCCAAAGCGTATGGCAATGTTTAATGCTGTTCAACGTATTAGACAAATGGAGGCCAACACTTTTTCAATGTTAAAGCTCGATAGATTTTTGGCTGATGCAAACTGGGCAATGGCAGAAGAAGCAATTAAAATGGATTATCCTTATAGAGTAAGTACTACAAATATTAAATAAAAATATAGTTTAGAAAGCACATAAACTAATATCATTTACTACTTTGCTATGACTAAATGTAGGATATTAGCTTTCATAATACAATTGAGTTGTTCATTATTCAGCTTGCAGGGGTTTTTGAAGTAGAAATGTGGAAAGGATATAGGCTGCTTGGGAATTGAGTGGGAAAGGATGGAATAGTTGTAAGTGGAGAGAAAGAAGTATGGAGGAACTGGATGGAGAGTGTGATAGTAATACAGAATGTAAAAAAACAAAAGAATATTTACAATTAAGACAACTAGAGTGAAGAGTTTGACTGTAGGTTTTAATGGAGTTCGCATCTTTTGGCTTTTGATTACTTTTGTGACCCTGGTAAAATCAATTAGCAGAAGCACAGCTTGCTTGAAAAATACTGTCCATAGGCAAGGAGGGCATCAATGGTTTGGGAACTGGGATCAAACAGGGAAAAGAACTGGGTTATGCAGACTATGAAAATGATTTTGGATCTCATGTAACACAGTACTTCTCTGGTATGCTTTAGAATAGCCAGTCTTTTTTTTTTCCAGAATTCTATGTGACATTAACAAAAAGAAGTGACTGCTTTGCAAATTGCATTAGGTTTAATGAGTCGGCTCCTTAAATTAGGTACACCTTTTTTCAGGCTCCTATGAAAGCCTGAAGAAAGATGTGCTGTTTTAATGAATAGCAGAGTGCCCAGTTTTTGTGATAGAGGAATCCCACCTCTAGTATGTGCGTCCTGCCACTCTCCTTAAAGTATAAACTTGAAGTGGAAAACAGTGTGGAGGAATGCACATTTTTCTAGAGTGAATTGAATATAATTTAGCTAAGGGAATGAACCATTTGATAATAGTATGTTTATCTTGCCTGAAGATTTCATCTTCACCCAAGATCGTTCTGATCCAGGATGTTGATTATCTGCATTTGATGAAAAAAGAGAATTTTTGAGATCCCTCAATTTATATTTTTAGATAATCTGTTCTTATAGTTCCATATACAGTAGACGTTAAAGCAGTATGGGAAAGGAAAATTAAATTTCTAAAAGGACCACAACATAACTATTGATTGTCCAGGTAATATTTGAGTACTATCTTTTTAATTAATCTTTCAGGTAGGATTAGAAGCAGTGCCAAGCTATGCCTCCCATACCCAACTCAGAAAGCCTATCCAGAAGGATACTGTGTTCAGTTTTATAAAAAATAATTGATAATAAATATGAGATACACCAAAGAATAGTGGACTACTGCTGATAAATTTCTACTTGGTATTTATCCCCATTTACTATTAGGTGCTTATAATGCTCCAGGGATCATTAAAGAAATTTCGGAGAATCACATGCTGACCTCAGCATAATAAATTGAACATACAGGGAGTCCTCGACTTATGACAGGATTTGGGACTGGAATTTCCATCTCTAAGCGAAGCGGTTGTAAAATATGACCGCATTGCTTAGCAATGGCAATCCCTGAAGTCCTGGTTGTCATCATTAACTGAATCTTATGGTTGTTAGGCAAGGCAATTTGCTGCCAGCTCCCTCTGACCAAAGTCAGTAGGGAAGCTGGCAGGAAGCTGCAATTCCCAGGCGCACAGGCAGGTAAGTGGCTGTTGCCGGGTGGGGGAGGGAGTGAGGAGGTGCAGGGGAGGGTTATGGAGGGTGTGGATTGGGGAGAGTGCACAAGGGTGTGTGAGAGGTGTCACACTGGTCATGGAGGGTGCATGAGGGGTGCTGTGTGGATCAAGGAGGGCATGCAAGGGTGCGAGGGTATGTGACTTCCCTACCAAAGTCAGTAGGGAAGCTGGCAGGAAGTTGCAATTCCCAGGCCCACAGGCAGGTATGTGGCTGCTGCCGGGTGGGGGAGCGAGTGAGGAAGTGCAGGGGAGGGTTAGGGAGGGTGTGGGTTGGGGAGGGTGCACAAGGGTATGTGAGAGATGCCACACTGGTCATGAAGGGTGCACGAGAGGTGCTGTGTGGGTCAGGGAGGGCACGGAAGGGTGCAAGGGTGTGTGAGAGGCACTGCATGGGTTGGGGAGGGTGCATGAGGGGCACTGTGCAAGTTGGGGAGGATGTGCAGGGGTGTGCAAGATGCAGCATGCAGGTCAGGGAAGGCATGGGTCGGGGAGGACGCACAGGGGTGCACAGTGGCCGGGGCAGTGTGAGCACCAAGTGGCTGGGCAAAGGTGCGCAGGTGAGGGAGACTTATCCCAGCGACTTGTGACCTTCCCTGCTGACTTCCCCATTGACTTTCTGGGGAAGGGAAGGTTGCAAATGGTGATCACATGATTGTGGGGCACTTGACAACTGGTTGTAAGCATGAGCAAGGTGCTAAGCGCCCAGATCATGATCATGTGGCTGCAGGGATGCTCGGCCGGCCGGAATTCTGAGGACCAGTCGTAACCCCTATTCATTCAGTGCCATCGTAACTTGGAACAGTCACTGACCAAATGGTTGTAGGTCAAGGACTACCTGTTACAATATCGAGTTTCAGTGGTAATACTAATTAGCTAAGAGCTTAATATTTTGGGTTATTTTGTTTATTTTGGAAAGTCAGTCCCTAGGAAGCCTTTTCAAAAGTTAATGTAATTTATTAGAACTTCTGGCATAAATTAAGGAAGATCTAGATGAGTGGTTCTCAGTCTTTCACATCTTATATCCCGCTAATCACAATAGCAAAGAACCAGGTTCTCACTAAGATAGAAAAAAGGCCCACTTTTTTTTCCTGAAAAGGATGCTTATATATTTACGTATACTTGCATTCTGTTATATTTATTCATTACTATTGTTGTTGCTGTGTCAGCATAGTGAGGCTTTAATCTTAAACATGCTTACAGCCATGTAAGTCCCACTGGTAGTGAGTCAAAGGTGGTCCAAAGGTGGAGGCAAACGCAGAGGGCTAGTTCAGTGATCTGAAACAGGTGAGATATGCAAGTAGAGAGGCCACAGAAGAGCTAGGGAGAATGTATCCCAAGTGCTGATGAACACACCGAATTGGGAAATTTTAAGAACTTGCTTTACATCCCACCTAGATGGCTTCTGAGTACCATTATTGGTACAAATACTATCAATCTAGAAACGTAGATCTAGATTAGTAGTTTATTTTTTTATTCTAGAATAACAATCACCAGCTATACAAAGGGTCCTCTATACATTGCATTTGCACTGATCTGGAATCAATGTTATGTAGGTATTCCCACAATATTTATGTTCAGGAGCAGTTTTATATAATTGATGGGAGCTCTAACCTTAATCCCATTAAAGGTCCTGAGCTACTTTAGTCAGGTTATTCTGACGTGGATATTGAAGTCCCTCAGAACAATAATGCTTATGGCAAAAACAAAAACACCAACAAAATCAGTAATCTGTCCTGAGTGTGCAACACAAGGTCCAAATAGTGCAGACTGGTGTTCACTTTGATAGGAGGCCAAGAGAGGGATATGGTATTCCTAAAATGTTTAGAACTCTCCCTCTTTTTGTTTATAGTCTTTTGTAGTTATTTGGGGGGTTGTATTTTTTGAACTTTTTAAACTCATAATATCTTAAATACAGTGGTACCTCTAGTTACGAACGCCCCTCCTTACCAATTTTTCAAGATACGACCAGCTCCAGCCCCAAAAATTTACCTCTACTTGCGAACTCCGCC